GCACCACGTGATCCATTCCTTCCAACTCGACACAATTTACGCAGCAGGTACAGTACGTACAACCAAAACATTCGATACAATGGGCACACTTGTAACAGTCTTCGCAACTGTCCAAGGCATTTGAATTTCGGCATTCGTATAAATTAAAACAAGCTACGCAATTTATACATCTACCGCAATCGTCGCAGGTGGAGCAGTCCTTACATCTGACGCAATCGTTACATTGGTGACAATTGTGGCATTCTTTACAATCGGTGCATTTGTGTAAACTTTTGGAATTTAAACAACGAAAGCAATCGTACGAATCTATCAAGTCGATCGAATTTCTCGTGTCTTTGCAAAAGTAACAATTCACGTTTGTAGTTTTCTCTACCATTTATTTTTATGTAGTGTTTATTTTTTTCGTTTTTTATAACGGGCCAACGACGGAAAGTCCCTTTTTGTTTGTGAGTGATTGCTGGAGCGATCGGTGCTAGTCACGAGTTGTTTACACAAAAAGTGCGCCCGGTCAAAAGTTCAAGGTGAGTGGGAATCCCCGGCGCGTGTGGGTGAAAGGGGGTGAAAGAGGAGGTGGTCCAGAACTCTCCTATCCCTACTACTGGAATTGAAATTCACACCAATAGAGAGAAAACCATATTAGCTTTCAGATGCCAGCGGCATTTCTAGATTTGGATTATTCTCAGTCTTTTTAGGGTCGGACATGCGAAGTCAACTTTGCACGGGAAACCGTTTGGAATGTGTGGACTAGGGGAAAATTCCAAGGAAATTAAAAGTTGTGACACAAAAATCATTGCCTTCTTTTGCAGATATTTCAACACCTACAAAAGATATGAATTTGAAACTTACAAGAGAGACGACCATGTGCCCTTTCAGATGCCACCATGGTTTTCAGAGTTGGACAATTCTCAGTTTTTTAGGGTCAGACATACGAAGTCAACTTTGCGTGGGAAGCCGTTTTGTAACCTTGGGACTAAGGGTAAATTACAAGAAAATATAAAGCAATTACACAAGAACCATTGCCTTGTTTTCCAGATATTTCATCAACTACAGCAAATATGGAATTGAAACTCACATGAATAGAGAGGAACCTTTGAGCTTTCAGATGCCACTGAGATTTTTAGACCATTTTTATTTTTGGACCATTCTAAGTCTTTTTAAGGTCAGACATACGAAGTGAACTTTGCGTGAACTGTAACGTGTTGTCAGAGAGAAAATTGCTAGAAAATAAACGGCAGTGGGACAAGACCCATTGCATTCTTTTCTTGATATTTCAACAACTGCAGCAAATGTGAAATTGAAACTTACATCAGTAGAGAGAGGAACATGTGGCCTTTCAGAAGCCCCCAAAATTTTCAGATTTGGACGATTCTCAGTCTTTTTAGGGTCAGACACATGAAGTTAACTTTGCGCTTGAGGCCGTCCTGTAACCTGTTGTCAGAGAGAAAATTACAAGAAAATAAGAAGCAGTGACACAAGAATAATTGTGTTGTTTTGCAGATATTTCAACCAGATATGAATTTGAAACTTACATCAGTAGAGAGACAACCATGTGCCCTTTCAGATACTAACAAGGTCTTAAGATTTGCACAATTTTCAGTCTTTTTATGGGCCATCGCTCAGCTTAAAATGTGACTAATTATATCTATCTTGTAACATATGACAAAAGCTCCCAATAATAGACTAGCACACTCTGCTTTATATGTAATAGGAGTCCCCTTTCTGACCAATTTATTGTTATGGTCTGTTACTTGCTTCCGACAAGTTGAAATACACTTCTCAACTGTTAATAAAATTGTAATAAAACAGTAATGAGATGAATAAGGATTGAAGCATCGCTATTTGCATATACAAAAATTCCCCTTATAACTGACATTAGTTTGACTAGCATTGCACTACAGAGTATCAACATAACCCCCAAAAGCTGATACAAATTAAATTCTATAAAATGTTCAATATGTCAATACATGTACTTGCTTTTATTAACAAGAGAGTTACACAAGGTTATATAAATCTTATACATGAATAACATGCTACAACTCGAAAACCAGCCAGAATTTGGGGCCAACCGCCACCAACTTTGTGATCAAAGTGTAGAGGTTGGGGCCCTGGATGACGGGGCTCTCCACAATACTGGTGCAAAATAACCCCCCCCAAAAAAAACAAAGGAGCAGCACATTTATAACCTAATGTACCTCTTGAAAGCATCAGAGTTCCAATGCCCCATTTCACGGATCTGTGTCTGAGAACCCCATGGCCGCTGCATAGCATGCAGCTCCAATGTGGAAACTGTGACCTTTGTAAATCATGGGATCCAGGTCACAAAATTGAAGTGCAACCTGCAAGGTTGAATTGAATTCTGATCGAGTGATAGGGCTACCCGACGGCCAAATTAACAGGTATCCTGGCTGAGTACCTCAAATTTTTATATATGACTCCAAAGCTTGCACTGTCCCTATTTGGGATTCGCAAAACAATTCAATAGCTTTTTGTCTCCCCGCACAATGCTTGTAAGTCTTGAATATTATTTGAAAACTACCCGTCTCTTTCTTTGTTGTGACATCTTGCATCTTGCAAGATGTTGTCTAGGTTCCCACTGGATTTTGTCATCTCCCCAACACACAAAAATGCAGCAAACACCAACCGAAACATACTGGTGAACAAAACCTGCTGAAAATTTGAGTCAGTACAATGCTTAAGAGCATCTACCAGCTTTTGAAGTAATGGCCACGTGATGGGCAAACGCATGTCTACCCGTAGGTTATCCCTTTTTGAACCTAATATTACTTTGCGTACCAGAAAATGATCGGAAAGATCATACATGTTGTAGTTTGTGTACATAACCAATGGATGAGACACAGGTAGCTATCGTTGTCGAGGCATATTGCCTGCTATGTAAATGAGCAACAAATAGAGCTATCAGAACAGGCGCAACTGGCAAAGTCTTATCAAAAGAAAAGAGCTCAAGAAATTCCGACAAAACTGTTATCGCTCTCTGATAGGTATTCCAGGTGGCTTTGGACATAGATATGTCCAACCATCCCAAGAGTTCATGCAACAATTGCATGGCAGGATGTTTTCCAGCACCACTACTGGGGATGGCTCTGCCCAGGGCACTAGTTGTTTGAAGGCAGTGACCTGTTGACGAGACAAATGGTCTGCTAATACATTCGAACTGCCTGCCTGGTATATGCTCAGCTTTAAACAGTATATTGTAGCGCATGCACTGGAGCACGAATGTACAAACTAATATCATCAACTTCTTATCCTTAGAGTGGCCAACTTCTTATCCTTAGAAGTGGTGGTGTTTATGACATATACCAGAGCTAGGTTGTCAGTATGCAGCATGATCTTTTTGTTGGCAAAACAACTTGCCCACACTTCAACTGACACAACACTGGGGTAGAACTCTTTTATTGTTATATTTTCCAATAACCAGGTCTTAGGCCACCAACCATTGAACCACTGTCTTCCTAAAAGGGCTCCATAGCCAAGTGCCCCTGATGCATCAGTGTATAGGTGCAAAGCTTTGTTGCTGAGCCAGGCGTCAGAAAGGAAAAATGCTTTACAGTTGTAAGTTTCCAAGAAAACCTGCCATGCAGCCAAGTCAGCCTTTGCATCTTGTGTGAGTCTAATATGGTGCCTGGGATTACTAACCCCCAGTGTTAAATTTATGAGCCTACCCAGAAAAGCCCTACCCAGAACTACAACCTTACATGCAAAGTTTAGTAGGCCAAGTAGAGACTGCAAGTCACGCAACGTGACTTTCTTGTATGTTGACATTGAGGTTATCTTCTCAATGGCCTTGAGTTTCTTGTGCAGGAAGTCGTCCAACAGACGGATATGTTGGACTCCTGATTTATTCCACTGGAATGCTGCACTAAATCTTTCAAAAATCGCACAGCTGGACCTACAACCGATCGAGAGAGTTTTATCGTAATAAAATTTCTGGTCCCACTGTAAGCCAAACAAATGATAATCCTGGAGGAACACTGGAATGATTTTGAATGCAGACTCGACATTAAGCTTCATCATTAAACAATGCCAGCCCAGCTGTATGATAATGGAAACTGCACCTCTATCTATGCATAGTGAACCACTGCTGGCTAATCTGGGATGCCACTATTCACCGAATCACCATCAGGGTAAGATAGGAGGTGTAAAATACGGAATTTCCCTGGCTGCTTCTTAGGTACCAGTCCTATGTGACTCACAACAAAATTGGGCAATGGGGGATCATCGCAAGAGCCAACCAACCTGCCAGCAGTAAGGTCTTTTTGTAGTTTCTCAGTAACAACGCCAGGCATATCCAAAGCTGACACTACATTTTTGCAGTTTGCCCCTGCGCAAACCCACATGCCCAAGCTTAAAACTGCATTCAAATCCATTGACCAAAACTTTGGTCTTGTCCGGGTTATAACCTAACAAAAACTGCATGTACATTGACAGGTGTGATAATCATGTTAGTTAACAGGCCGTTGATGTCCTGATCCTGTCCCTTTAACTCCACTGAATGATCGATTAGTCCCTGTACCCTGTTGCCCATGAGACTTGCCAATTTAATTGATGTTGCTGTTCAAGAAGAAATGAATCATCTTGAAGAAAGCTTGAGACAACATAAACACTTCTCAGTGCAGCAAACTGCACATTCTGATGAACTTATCAAAATGTACACAGGTATACCCTCGTATGAAATCTTTCAATGGCTTGCAGACCAGGTGCGGTCACATGCACAAAAGCTACAGTACTATCGTGGTAAGCAATCTATGGACTGGGATAAATTTTATCAAGTTAGCAATGTCACTAAGCCAGGCCCTAAACAGTGTCTTTCAGTTGAACTTCTTATGACTCTGATGAAACTGTGATTGAACTTGAGAGGATTGCCTTCAGGTATAAGGTAGCACAGTGCACAGTTTCGCAGATTCTCTCAACTTGGATACCTTTTCAGTACAAGAAATAGATGGGTTCATTTATTGAAATAAATCTGATACATGTACCTGTAGTTTCACGTCTTGTCTACTGTTTTATTCAAGCAAATGTGCACATATTTCAATCTGATTGCACAGGGTTTTTATGTAATTCTATTAGTTCATAAACAATATATTTTATCAAAACTGTGATAGTTAACATACAAATTTGCTGTATTGTCAGGAAGTACAGGTTACTTATGGTAAAGACATATGTGTACATGGTCATTCCACTTGCCATCAATGGTAAAGGAAATACAATGATGGTATTTCAGCAGTCATGATTACATGTATATGCACATATTTACAGATGAGGAATTCATATTCACACTGCAAAAAAATCCATACAACTTCAAATAATGGCCATTTTCTTATGTGGACTTCTTAAAAAAAAGGGTAATTTCTCTGAAGAGATAGTGTTAAATGAACATGTATAGTCCATCCTTTTTGCATGAATATTTCCTAACTCCTAAGTGCATACATGTATTTCCTGTTACAGTTCTTGCACTATGTGGGAAAACTAAGTGTACGTACAGTACATAAAGCTGATTTAAAATCCAGTGCAATGTTTGAAATTTTCAAAATGCAAAGATTAACCATGTTTATCACATAATATAATTCGTAAATTATGAAAACAAATTTGTAGTTTTATTCCATACAACATTGTCATTGTGACCGTGGAACTGTACTGTACTTGAAATTACTAAAGAAATGTATGATGATGTGACAACAATTCCTGATATGACTTGTGAAGATACATCAATCTCCTGAACGTACACACATTTTATGTTTTTGTGACTCTTTCTTGCACTTGTCACATTTCCATTTCGATTTTCTTCTACCTAAGGAGACTTCTTGGCCAGTAAGTCCTATGCAGGAATAATGATACCATAAGTAACATTTGTCACATTTAATACTTTAGTGACTATCATCAATGGGATCTCCCTCACAATCTTCCCCACAAATCCCACATGGATAACGAGAACCACCCACTGACATTGCTGTTAATGTGGATTCGTCGAGCATCTTTAGCATACATGCATTTTCCATCGTTTTCTGTACTGCATTCTTAAGTACTTGTTCTTAGACATTTCCAGTCCACAATTCTGGAACAATTGCATTGGAAAAGAAGAAACTCCATTCAGGCATTAACACATTTAAGTATTGGTCATCAAAAAGAATTCGCTCAGCATGCATGTTGTCAGAGGGTGAACTTGTGTGAACAACAAAATCACACCACTCATTTTTGTAAGTAGCTGGATTTGAATTTGGACATCATATTTGTGGAGCCCGTCTAAATGTACTACCTCATTATCACTAATGAGTCCAGATGATTCCTCCTTTTCACAAGTTCACTTATTGTCATGTGTCTTTAATGAGTGAAAGGGGTTTTTATTCCAACAAGACCATGGCCACATTTTTTGCAACTGACGATCCCATCTGGTGATCCTGCAACATACAGAAACCTTAAGCTCACCTAAAGTCCAGTGTCTGTACATGACACACCTGAATGTTTCTTATGTAATTAGTGGTGTGCTAAATAGTGTTTTCTGGCTATTGCTTTGCAATACCTTCCCCACTGCAGGGCTGGGGATGTAGGGTTGCCATAATACCCCATGATACGTGCTACACAGGAATGAGAAGCTTTTAGTTTGGGAGGAATCCCAGTTACTGCAGCGGCACAATCTCCTGCCGTACTAGAAGTGATGCTTCCCTTCCTGTGTTCATACCATTTTTCACTTGATTTCTGCTGTGATGTGGCATGTGCAAGCAGTTGCTGCTGGTGCTGGTTTATTATGAAATTGCCAATAACCTGCTCACTTATAGGCCTAGAGTCGGGTTCAATTCTGGAGAATGCTTCACTCACTGTTAGTACTTCCTCAGTCATGCTATTATCAACATGTTTCTCCACTTCTGAAATGTCGAGTGTCTCTCGAGATGGGTCAAGCTGCACTTGTGAGTACATTAGCAGTCCAGTTTTTCAATTAGTAATATGGGCCAAACAATCCAAGTCAAAATCAGAAATAGGATGGGAAACCCTGTCTATAATTACCCGTGGATCATATTTGGACCTGTATCACAATTACTTGCTTCAGTGTTCTGCAATGCGAGATCTTACTTTACACGGACAATTTTAATGTACTCAGCAAATTTAGCCTTATGAACCTTGTCACCCTTTTTTGGAGGAGCATTCCACACCATATTCTGTGAAGTTGAAGAGCTGTTGCGCCCCTGTTCCACTGCTTCAACTATGGCAAATAAAGAGTGCTGCAACATGCTTGCATCCAGCTTGGATCCTTAACCATGAAATGAGAACAAATGATACAAGTAAATGTATTATTTGTAACAAATCTTTTGTAATTTTTGTATCAAAATTACTACTTATTTCACACCATTTATTTATTTCAATGCTGTCATGATTATATAGTATTTGCAAAACTGATGTATTCAAATACATCATTACCGAAATGGCAACAGTTACTGGGTTTTTGTAAAGATTCGACCCATGGTTTTAATACTAACATTGGGTTTTTGTTTCTCAGAAATTAATTGACAAAGATAAACAATGGCCATTCATTATAAAGCTTAAGGTAAAATAAACAAAAGGACATCTGACAACAATATCAAGGCACACAGGATTCCTCTTTAATAATAGGGTTTAAAAAATCTGTGCAAACCAAGATTTATTGCATTTCAGTTGATGCAAAATTCTTAGAAGATTATTGTAAGCTTGCCATTAAAAGGTTTCAATTTACCCAACTACACAGGTACACTCTGCTGTTACAACTTGCGCGCTGGCCTTGTTCAGCACCACCCATGCAAAATATGGATCTTTATTGGTTTTGGTCAGTAGTATGACCTACATAAAATTTAAACGTAACATGGGAAAAACAAGTTAGTAGATTTAATCTTAATTCAAAGACTTGCTTCAGCAGGTGCAAACAACATACATAATTACACTGGCTGATGCACTTAAAAGGTGCTTGACAAATTATCCCTCAGACAGGGAGTAAATATGTGTTTTTCAGCATTTAATACCAGCTCAGAATAGACAAGACTAATGCCCAAGCTGCATACACGTTAGTTTAAGACTGGTTAAGCACATATTTATTCCTATTAATAAATATCTTTTTTAGTCAGAAAAGTCAAAAGAAGTCAATATATGATGATTTCCAGCAATTTTGTTTTGGAATTTTACTTTCATTTTCCCGAACACCCCATCCATTTAATGGAACATTCTTTGTGCAAACTGTCAAACTGGCTCGCATGCAACAAACCGTGTGCACACAGACTCATGACCAATCGGAATCAAACTATCATACGGTCAAGTTGCACGTTGTTGAATAGGAAGACTGTCTGCGGTATTTATGAATGCCCGTTAATTCAACAGATGTTTTTCATTCCTTGCACCGAATGCAATGCAATATTTCATCCATTATATTAACCCTAACCCTGCCAGATGCAGCACAGTGCACCAAGTGAAAAGTTTGATGCACTTTGATGCACTTGGCAATCAACAGCAGTGGCACACACTGGCTATGTTGAGACAACGGCAGCTAGTCCTATTGAACAATGCCACTGTTGGATAGTGTGGTAACTGGCAACCACAGACCCCCAGGCTGTTTGGCCTTGGGGAGAGTAGAACTGGTGGATCTTGTTACACTGGGCAGGCAAGCCACTTTGGCAAATGATGCAGACTGAGGTGTCTGGCAGGGTTTCTAGCCAAAGTAGGCTGGAGGGTTAGGGTTAAAATAGGCATTAACTTGTTGCACTCTCCAACAATTCACTGTATTGAACAGGATTAGGCTTTCATACCTTTCCCTGTACAAAACAATAGCTGATGTTTGCACTGATGCCATGGTAAGCCATGCCTTTCACATGGTCAAGACACATAAAGACCTTTGCCAAGTCCTACAGTTCTCATGCCATCAGTGTTATGCTGCCCAACTTTGCGTCCAGCTGTAAAACAATATGTCAAACAATATGTCGGAAAAAATGCAAACTTATTTATAAATGTATGTTCAATGGCTCTGTAGCGTTTTCTCCCTTATAAAAATAAAAATACTTGCATTTAGATCCCGTGTACATTTTTCTCAGCAATAGATTAGGAGCCTTTAACTTTTGACCCTGAAATGTCAAAACTGACTCTGTAATGTCAAGCCTCCTAATTGATTTAAGAGTACCCCTACACAAGGACCCACTTTTATTGCTTTAGCCTTCCTACCACATTCCACTTGCAGACTTCTTGTCCAGGATTTATTACTTTATAATTAGATTTACCCTTGTTCTTCTGGCCTAAGTTCCCAACCCTATTTTTACCACTTGGTCATTTTTAGCCATTCTCATCACAACCACTCTCCAAGCAACATCTCTATGTGCAGTATACCCCCACTCTCTCTTGTACAAGCTGTAAAATAGTTTAGAATAAAAGTTTCTTTCTCAAAAGTTAGTACATGTTGTCAACATTGTTCCTTTTATACAACACTACTAAAGCTCTTACAACTACAGTTTATTACCCCACTGTGAGACTTCCTTCTTTTGGAGATGTTTTATCACTTTAAGCTCACCAGTCTTGATGTAACTGTGGGCCCTTATTGTGTCTGGCAAACTTGCTGGGGAGACCTCCCACCCTTCTGAAAGGGATTCAGGACATGGCAACTGCATCACACCACCATCCAATAAAAGCTTTCTCTCCTTATAATAAATAGGGACATGCATAAAAGTGAGCCTATTGGTAACCGATTTTCTGTGTAAGAAATACATGTAGGCCTTTCAATGAAAGATAGCACTGCCTGAAGAAATAATGCCACGTGGGGTCTGTGGCGACAATGAAGCAAACTACAAACTTACATGTCGATAACTGAGGTAAGATCACAAACAAATGTGTGACAGGGAGATGAATACTTATAAGGGAAACCTCAAACATGTCAGAGAGTACAAACAACATGGTTTGACGTCTGCCTCTGTAGTGCACCAAAATAAAGTCTGGATGCTTGATGTGTGGCCAACAAAGTGCAACCAGGCTACAATCAGATTGTTGAGTAGGCTAGGCCTTATAAATAGTTAGCCTACATTCACAACATTACGTTTTTTTTTCATTTTTAGAGCCTAAAACCCATTTCTTTGCTTAGCGGATTTGGCAGTTTCCAAACCAAAATTAAATTCAAATGTTTATATTAATTGTCTATTTAATCACATTCCAAAAATGTTGAAAATCTGTTTGAAAAATGTATTCAGTGCTAGGCCTACCTTTGATTTTGCAAAAGCTGCCTCAGCTTCTCTGTTGGTTTTGCAACCAAACCAAGCTTTTTCCACCCAGTAACCTTCTCGACAAGTTCATCTTGTTCTTTTGTTTTTCATCAGTGACTGCCACACCCCTGGCCCTCAAATACGACAATTTGTTTTTGGTAAGATTCAGAAACTTCTGACATATTGTAAATTAGTTTTATTTTAATTTTTGTTGTGTGTTATAGATTTTATTTTAAATTGTTATATTTTGGGTGTTCATATATATGTGTAGTTTGCTTTCCATATCAGTTGATCTGGATTTAAATGTAGAACTATACCACTACGTTTAGTCCCACTAAATGGAACAGTCTAACATTGCCACACCTTTCATCGTTAAGTTAATTAGCCTACTAGGGACTTCTTTGACTGGGACGGTCAGGGGAACATCCACAACTGGGATGTTCCTGTGTCTTTTCTATATGTAAGTTTTTGTGTTTGTTTCTTTAACAAAAACTTGGGATACTCCGCTCCAGCCATTCCTTATATCTACATTGCTATGCTCTTGTGCATGTGGCCAGGGTATTTTTTTTCTGTTACAGGTCCATTTCTGGGGGGAGGCGTCGCACGCATTGGGTTTGAGGTCTGGGTAGTTTGTCTTCACATGTTCACATGTGTGTGATTTAAAATGGCCAGCATGTGCAGGAGCATATTTAATGTCATTGCACCCTGCACCGTGCAGGGAGCAACTACTTGTAGTTAATTTGTTATCTCTATAGCCATATTCGTGTGTGATTAATTACTTGATTTTGTTTACTTTTTTTTAGAAAATAAATAAGCCGCTGACAGATTTCTGCGGATTGGCAAGTTGGCCAAGTATCATACATTTCAGTTATTTTCTTTGATCCAACGTTTGTTATCAGGGTCCTTCATGGATTCCGTTACAATATGCCTACTGATGAAGATCCATTTTGTTGGCAATTTTACGCAAGTCAAATCACTTGCGCGCGATGCTCCCTTTCCCTTCCCAGCATGCCTCAGCGCAGAGTGCCACCTGCTGAAATCAACCGATCGACAATAGACCCTATTGCTTCCAATTAGCATAATGACCATATGCGCAAAATGGCCGTCATGACCGTAATCTGTTGCAAAAAAAGCGCAAACATCTGTAACTTTTCAAATCCCTTTGCAAACACTTAGGTTAGAATTATCTTCAAATTCGTCAATTCCTCTTTGTTTAATGTCATCTAGCAGTCTTTGCACAAATGAATCACCCACCATTACAACTCGAGTACAGCCTGGCTGTAGCCATATTTCGTAAACGCGTACATGAGCCACAGCAAATTTGACCTTCGACATCCAATGGACGATAGATACATACAACGCATGAACGTATCGTAACTATGTACATGTACAAGTACACTATGAACATGCTTCGCGTACTGTACAGGTACACTGCATACAGGAAAACGAAGACCACGTTTCTGACATTTTTACAGAATCGAGCAAACTCACCTCGCTTCTACAAACGGTAAACACAAGCTACTTCCACAACAGTAATGACCCAGCTATAGGCTGACAACAGAATTACATGGCGGACGCAACAGAAAAACGGAAAAAATACAGGAAAAATTGAAAACAAAATGACCACAATAGTTTCTAGATTAGCTTGAATGAAACGTTGCGGACCGCAGACTGTGCGAGCCAATCGGCTGCAGGCTCAGGCCAGGGATGAAGTTATGGCTCCGCCCATAAAAACGTATAAAGGTTAATCGTGTGTTTGGATCAGACGTACAAAGTCAACTTTGCGCAGGATGCCGCCCTCTAACGTGGGGACGACGGGAAAATTGAAAAAAATTTAAAAAACGTGGGACAAGAACCATTACCTTCTTCTCAAGATATTTCAATAACTACAGCAAATTTGCAATTGAAACTCACATTAGCTGAGAGAGGAACATGCTGGCTTGCAGATGTCACCGCGATTTTCAGAGTTGGACCATTCTCAGCTTTTAAGGGTAGACATACGAACGTCAACTTTTTCACGGGATTCCGCCCTGTACTAACGCGTTGTCAGAGGGAAAATTTCAGGAAAAAAAAGCAACAGGAGAAAAACCATTGGCTTCTTTTCCAGATATTTCATTAACTACACCAAATATGGAATTGAACCTCTGGTAAGTAGAGAGAGGAACATGTGCATTTTCAGATGCCACAGTGATTTTCAGAATTGTCAGTCTTTTTAGGGTCAGACGTACGAAGTCAACTTTGCGCGGGATGCCGCCCTTTAATGTGTTGCAACAGGGAAAATTCCATATTGGCTGTATTTGCTGTATTTATTGAAATATTCGGAAAGGTAGCCAATGGTCCTTGTCCTGCTGCCTCTTATAGCTTGTCCCACTACTCTGATAAGTAGAGAGGAACATGTGCTTTTTCAGAAGCC